AACAAAACAAAACAAAACAAAACAAAACAAAACAAAACAAAACAAAAGCCATCTAGAAAATATTGCAGCCCCTTTAAATAATCAGTTTGATGTAATAGGGGTAAATTTGTGTTCTTATGGTTGACAAACACTGATTTGAGAAGCGTCTACTGTAGACCAAGATAATATTGTTTAATTTTAATATTTCTCATTAAAAGTGATTCAACTATCACAGTTACATGACACTTTATGTGTAAACACAGTTCTGTGCTTCATCTGCTTATGCATTTTCTGCTTAAGAGAAAAACTTCTGAACTGTTTCTCTTTTGGAAGCCCGTGAGAATCAGATTTTTTTGGTCTGTTGAGACTAGTTCAGAATCTCCTTCCTTATCTTCAAGGTGCTTTGGCAGGAGCCCAAGATATCCAGTGATTTGTCCTACACAAGGTGTCAAAGTAAATTAACAGAAAAGATGTGAATTTATAGCGAATGTAAGTAGCGTGCCTGTAATTCCTTTATGGACACACATTTAGGAGTCAGCTGGCCATAACTGCTCTAACTTAATTCACAGTTGAAGTGAATTAAAATGAAGTAAATAGATGGTTTATCAACACGGGAGAGACACTGTACAATAAGCTTATTGTAAATTCACAGTTCACCAGCAACTTCGCTCTAACTTTTCTTGTAGAAATACAGCATGCCCTCAAGGTGCTTTTGTAGGAGGTAACTTAATTTTTTTTAGGGGGAAAAAAAGAAGCTATATATGGAAGTGTAGGCTGATTGATAGCAGGTGCAGGAGTGACTGTATTTCAGTGGTGATACATGTAGAAAAAAGGTCAGCATCTATCATCTGTTCAGTTGAAGATTCACGTTTTGTTACCACAATGGCACTTCCTACACTGTAGGGTCCAGTTTGAATGAGGCAAAGTTGTCTAAGGCAAAAGCATTTTCATAGCAGGGGATCAGGCAGCAGATGTATCATCCTTGTTTATTGCTCAGGAACTTCACCATGTAGGAGAGTAGACAACCATTAACTATTTCTGAATAAAAACATACAAATGCAGTTACATGCTTTAAATTGACAACATTATCCAGCTTGGTTTAACTTTACCAAGTATTTCAGCCTTAATTTTCCCCTAAATGATTTACCACGTTCACTAGATTTAATGGCATTTCCTGTTGTCATAAACAAACCGATGCAATAAGGAATATGGAGAAATATTTCTATATGCAGTACTCCATTTAAATTTGATCAACGTAGTTAGGCAGACCCTGACATTATTATCCAGTTACGAAAACATCACTGGCCCTATTCATTCAGCCAGTTCTGCTCATTTTTCCAGGCACAGAAAGTTTGCACTGTAGCATTCCTTGTCTGATTTGGTTCCTGTCCAATACCTGATGAGCATATTAACAGTGCTCCCATTCATACGTTACAGCCTGCCAGTTCTATCTAATTTTAGTTGAGTTGCTATTTATAGTTAGATTGCTGTGTTTTCTCTTGTGAAAGCATTGCAACCTCTAGGCGTGGGGGAAATATGTTTTAGTTCTGTTTGGCACCCTCAGAATTTTTCACATTTGTAAGTTACCTACGTCCAAAATACTCTGCTGTTCTCCCAAAGTAACAGTGATGCTGCCTGTAATGATTTACACCAAAAATACGGTGACACAGTTGGCTATTTGTTTCTCAGCCCACCAAGATATGCACTGTGCAAACTGCATAGGCAATCCTACTGTTGCCTCTATGTAAGTAAGTCAGGTAGTATGGAATCACAGTCTTTGCTACGTATTATTTTATGAAGAAAGATTTCAAGGTGCAAAGGACAGGGGGGAGGGGGGCAAAAGGAGAATGAATGTACCAAGAAACAACACTTTGCTATGACCAAATATTCTCATCAACATACGCACATCCTAATGCATACAGGTAGGTATGTATGAGAAACTGAGAAGTAATAGAAAGGAAATTAATAATACAGCTAATTTCATCTTGCAGTAAAACACGAATATGAAAAGCGTGCACTTTGTAAGCATTTCCTGTAGAAAAGTTTAAATCACATATATTATATTTTAGTGCTGTGATGTAGTATAATGATCCTTAGGCAAACACAAACTGGACTCTTCCATGAAGCAGACACTTCAATTATGTTTTTTAGTAATTGGTAATTGGTTTGCAGTTTTGCTGACCTGACAGGATGGCGACCAGACACGTGGTTGAAAAATTAGCTTTCATTTTCTTTTTAAGTTGAAATTCAATTTTTTTCATCTTGGAATTTCAAAATGAATTCTGTCCTCGATAGAAGGACGTTCTGGTCACAGAATTTCTGTCCAGACTGTAACTTTTCGGAGTCAAAACACACAAAGCAGCTAGATTTTAATCTTCTTTTGTTGCTGCTCTCTGATATTGATAATACCTATCTCCCATATTTCTAAATTGCACTGCAAGTGTTGTTTATGTTCTTCTGATGTCTTATTTTGCTTCCATAGAACATATACTCTAATGATGCTTCATTCTTGCTCCAATAGCCACAAAAACTTAGAAGCCAGAATAGATGAGAATCACAATATAAGAGTCACAGAAAGTCAGAAAATAATCTTAGCACTCAGCTTCCTCAGTTGTCATCTGAGCCTAGGCAATATGTGCATCACAGGAAAAGGGCACCAAATCAGCACCGATTTTGATTGAGTTGAAACTCTCATTCAGTCTAGCTGGAATTATTCCAAAGTTGACTTGAACTGGGACTGAACCAGAAAAGTAGTTGGAGAAAGAAATAATGGCGTGATTTGGTGGATACCATGACTCAAATGACAAAGAATAATTTCTGCTCTGCTAATTCATAGCTGACTGCCCCACACGGTAAGAGTCCATAACCACCATTCCAGAGGTCACAGGGCTACAGGGAACAGCCTTTACTCTAACTTTTGGAGACAGAAACTTGTTTCTGCTGAGTAGTTACATCAGTAAGGCTGTGCTTCTCCCTCTCTCCTCCCCAGCCCAACACAGATGTTCCAGAAAAATAACTAGTTTAGACGTTGCTGTAGATACACACTGCAGCGTTGCCTAATGAGAGTTACAGGTAGAGCTGTAACACTTAGAGCTTTAAGAGGGCTCTAGATTGACAAATATTTATATTAGTTTGAGCTTGATTTATGGTAGATGAAAACGTTCCGTGCATGTTACTGACAGGATAGTATTGAGAAACCTTCACAGCTGTAGGCGTGTTTGGGTTTTTTTTTTTGAGAGGATGTGGAAAGAGGAGAGAGAAGCGATGGCTCCGGCTGAGGGCTGGGCTTTGAGCTCGGTTCTCCCTGCTCACCGCTCAGCCGTGGCCGCCGCCCAGCGGCCCGGTCAGGGCCCTGCAGGCACTCACTCAGCACAGGGCCCCCGCCGGGCCCGTGGGTGTCCCCCGGCGCCACATGCACCGCGCATCCCAGGTCGCTCAGTGTATCGTTGAGCTTTTTTACGGTCGCAGGACAATAACAGATCAGAACAAAACAGCTTTTTTTTCTCTTTTTTTTTTTTTCTTTTTTTTTCGCTCCCCCTTCCCCGCCCCACCGCGTTTTCGGCACTCGCACTGCTGGCGGCAATTCCTATGTGAAGAAGGGGCGGCTGACAGTGGAGCAGGGCTTACAATCACAAGGATGCTTCTGGGAACCGCCCAGCACAGCACTGTCTTGCTGATCTTAAATATGATCCGCGCTGCCGGTGCTGCACAAATGACCACAGAGGGTTAAAAAAGACATAATAAAAGTCAACTGTGATGCTCACAAGGATCACAGCATCACAGGATCACAGAATCACAGAATCGTGGGGGTTGGAAGGGACCTCCAGAGATCATCGAGTCCAACCCCCCTGCCAAAGCAGGTTCCCTACAGCAGGTCACACAAGTAATCTTGCACAGTGCACGGCTAAAGATCACAACAGCTACGAGGCAAGCTCAGCAGGCTGCATTCTGAACTTGTTGCTTAGAAATCAGGATTTTTTTCTGCAGCATTTCTCATTCCACTCTGCACATGTACTTCACCTATTGGGCACACACTGCTTGCTGTTCTGCAGCCAAAGACTCTCTTTTCCATCTTGCCCACTCTCTGCTCTCCAGGAGAACACACTGTTTTTTTAGACTAGGAGAACATCGCTTCTGTAATAACTTTTTCCAACCAAATCCACTATGCTCTTTTTTTTTTTTTTTCCATGAAGATTTCATGCTGTAATACATTTGTGAATAAATTCTTCCCTCAGAACATTAAAATTAAACCAAGAAGCTTACCGCTTACATCAAAGCCAATACAAATAGCCTCCGCTGGGGACTGAAGTAAGCAGCTCTGCAACCCAGATCTTGGGGGGAAAGAGCACCAAGCTGAAACAGAAGTATTCAAAAGTGCCAAAAGGGAAAGGAATTCTTTCGAAGAGCAGCTTTATGTTTAGTCAGTAACACTTGCAAAAGAGTTGAGAAATTTTGTAGGAAAGCACTATTGTACTTGGAAAATATGTAAAATTATATAAAGCAAAGAAAAAAGACATTGATATATTCATTTTTGGGGTTTGTAAGTCATGAGCACTAGAGCATCAATGCTTTTCTTTCTCATCTCTATTGCTTCTACCGATTTTCTTTATTAAAATTTCATAGAATTTCAGGTGTCTCACTTGCTGTCTTTGCTAGGGAGCCTTGCATGTACATCCCGGAATCTCAGCTCTAGGACTAGCAAGCAACTCTTGAAGATGGTTTCCCATAGTTTGGAAGGTGAAGCCCCCAGTCTATATACCTGATGTCTCTGCACATGTAATCCTTCACAGCTCTCTGATGACCCTGTCAGACCTTCCTCCAGCCTGTCTTCAGATTCTCCTTATTTCAATATGATGTGTTATATTAAATCAGTATTATCTTCATATACATACTGACATTTACTTTAACAGTACTGAAACACAATCATTTTCAGCTTCGGTGTTTCTTTCTTATTCCTCTCTTTGCCTTTTCTTCCCTATTTACTTCAATATTCAGTGGACATTTACACCTGCAAGTCAGTAACTGTGCTTCTAAAATTTCTTCTCCCCTGACTCTTTTTTCCATGACTCCTTCTTGTACATCGGGAATGCAAAAGCTTTAACATCTGTTGAATATTGAACTGCAGGGGATCCTTCTGGCTCTCTTGGCTTGCTGAACCTCACACATTTAAGAGTTCAAATGCTGTTCTAGGCAAATTTTCAGTCTCAAGGCCGTTTCACATGGAATTATTTTAAGCCAATACATACAGTTCACTAGAGTGTGTCCTGTCGGCCAGGAAGAATTTACAATTTGAGAAACTCAGACTGGATTGATCGGACTCATCTTCAGACTCCCTCCAGCATCAGACTTCTACCTCCTGACTTAGCTGACTTCTTCCACTACTAGTTCATATTGCTGTCCTTCTGGTTCAACAGATCATTTTTCCAACTTGATCATGTTGCATATATGCAACCTCATATTTTCATAACCAGTTGAATCACTCTCTACGTCCTTTCTTCCTCCTGCTTCTATTTTCCATGTTCATGATTTTCCTCTCCTTTAGGAGAAGATGGACAAACATCCTATTATTGGCTGTCAAATGTACCTTGGCTTGTATCACTTTTAGCCTACTAAACGTTTGGTTTTAGCACCAGGCTGGATACATTTCAGGGTATGAATTATAAATACCAATCCATTAGTGCATATCCAGGCTTCATCCTGCTTTTCAGGAGCTCCTTGTTAGTTGTTAGTTACAACAGACTTAAAATAAACAAGTAAAAGACCATTGCGCCTTTACTACATTTACTCTATTGATCAATGCAAAAAGCAAAAAATGTAAGAAGAAATAAGTAGAAATTTCTCCCCCCAGATTTCTTTCTTTCTCTTTGATGTGCATGTGCTTTTAGAATATTACTGTTCCTTGCATATTTGAATTTCTTTATGATGTAGTTTGAACTCATTTCCTTTGGCTTTACCTTGCATGTCACCCTACTCATAAGAAGACAACTGCCATGAATACAATGAAAAAAAAGGCAAAATTTGGTTTAAGGCCTATATTTTGATAAATAACTGTTGTTCAATGTTTGTTGTTGCTGTTTTGCTTTGTTTCATTTTGTTGCTGGCTTTTTTTTCCCTTGAAGCTAAATCCTTTAACTGCAGGCCTTACATTTTGTTGCTTTGATTTGTGTATCTTTACTGATGTAAACAGAGCTTCAGTTAATAAACTCTATTGCTTTATTATTATTATTTTTAAAGCCTCCTCTAACTGCAAAATGTCTCTTAAAGTCTAACAATAGCTGACTGGGATACCCCTAATTCAATAAGCTTCAGGAGGTTTCTTACAACATTCATGAATGCAAGATCTATCTCTACTGATCCAGACAGGTGCATGTTGGCCACAGATGCAAGAATGAAAGAAAAGTTTTGGACACAAAGACTCCATGTCTCACTTTTGTTTATGCGTGAATGGATGGCATGCCAGCAAAAACTCTGCATGGATACAAATCAGCAAAAAGCACTACAGACAAAAATGAGAGGAAGAGATTAATTTTTGTTCAGAGATACAAAGTAATGTTATTTGGCCCCCAGCATGAGTGAGCCCTAATTTTCTGGGAGCTAATTAGAAATGTGGATGTCATTTTGAGTGAGAAGCTGTTTTGCCTTTAGAATACTGCTTTAATACAGGATGACAGGACTCATTAGTGTCTTCAGATATATGTTTTTTTTTAAAAAACAAATTTTTATTTTTAGATGTCTTTATTTTCTGAGGAAAAAGTGCTGAGAAAGGAAAGCAGTCTAAGCCTTCAGTATTATTCCCCAGTCCCATAACAGTTGTTATCCTCTGCCTTTTCTAGTTTCAGAAAAATTAGCATCAATCTACTGCTGGTCCACAGAGACCATCAGTGTCAGGACCACAGCATAAGGCATGAACAGGACTCTATTGCATCCTCAGATAAAAAAAGATGTGCACTTTTCTCACTGGAAATATTCTAGACTTTGCTTGACAGTATCCAGGATAGCCTAACCTAAGTCTCTGTTTCCAACTGTGGTTTGGACCAGGTGATCTCCAGAGGGGCTGTCTGACCAGACTTTAATGTGATTCCATAAGGCAGCCACAGTGCAAAGGGAGGGGAGAAAGGCAGTATGTGCAGAGCCAGGACAGACTCAGGACACAAATCAACGAGGGGCTGTGTGTCATTAAACATCTACAGAACATCTTGTCAAACACAGCTAATATGAGCAGAGTCTGCCTGATGCTAAAGCATCAGTGAGACATCCTCAAAAACTGCTGAGCTTACTTATAGTCAGAAGATAATATATTACAGCAGTGCTGCCATATCCACTAACTGCCAAATGTAGTTACTCCTGAAAGTTCAGTGATGTCTGGCTATTTAGAGCATGGGAAAATGTTGCCAAGTCTCTCAAATTAGCCAAATAACTCAACAGCTGATACACTCGGCATATAAAGCAAAGGGAGATCAACGCGTTTAGTTAACAGGATGCCTTTATTCAGTGTGCACAGAGACTCACTGGATAGTATTATTTGAGAGGCTTCTTAAGTGAAATTGAAGTCTAAACCATCCAATGTATCCAGGAAGAGGCCTATATATATCTCACATGCAAGAGTGAGAGATTGCGTCAGCGGATTTATATGTATCAGTTTACTTTTAATTAAACTTTGTGCTCTGCTCTGGAGCCTGTAGCATTTATTGCAGCTGGGGAATTGTGGTTTACTGCAGCTCTTGGTTGACATTAAGTAGGCTATAGAGCCAGAAGAGTGTTTACAGGCCCTCGTTATTGATTCATGGCTGTTTTCTGCTTGCAGCTATAAAGTAGAAAACTAAAGCTGTATTAAGAGTTTGGGTTTTTCCCCCAAGATGAGAATTTGGATTTACCAGCAAGAGAAAAATGAGCATTTTCAAAGTTCAGAACTGACCTGTAATTTCTGTTCTTATTTTATCAGTAGCGTGGTTTATATTTGAACCTTTCATTGTGTAGGAAACAAAAGGCTGCATTCAGCTCCAACTGTTAGGTGTAAAGCAGCAGAAGGAATAAAAGGTTCAGCCCCTCCAGTTGCTGTTTGATAATTAACCAGTATCTCACAGTCATCACAATCTGTCTTAGCAATACTAAAGAAAATCTCCAGTTTTTCTGTCCTTAAATTTACAGCAAGTCCTGGAATATAAGCAAAGAATATTATCCCGGTTCTACGAATAAAGACATCAAGTGCCTCTTCTATGTTAGTGCAGTATTTTGACCTTTTATTATTTGAATGTGCATAACAGCAGCTAGAAGTGCTGCTGCAATACAGTTTAAGCTATGACTTTGTACATCCATTCTATTACAGAACATGAATTATGTGTCCCACTGGAATGGTTGTAATTGAGTGCACAAACCAAGTGCACAAACAAGAGGCTCCTGACAGAAAGAACAGAACCAGAGGAACATCTTCATGACTCTTGTATAAATCAAGTGCCTGAATTTTTACAGGTACAGAAGCATAATGAAGAAGGGAGTTTCACCCCTTGCAAAGTTTGCTGTCAACTCAAGATGGCTTTTAGTTGCAAAGTCTATTTCCTAAACAAAGTACAGATGCCTCCCAAATTGCAGTAGCTTTGAGATCTATCTTCATTATGTTCATCTCCACAAACCCTCTTTTCCAGCCAAGTCACTACTGCAAAACAACCATATCAAAAGGAAAAGCACCTAAGCAAACACAAAGCCTTTCACAACTTTTAAACTAAAATGAAAAAGCCTCTTCTCAGAATTAGCCTCTAACCCTCGGAGGAGCCATCCTGAGCTGTGACAAGAGTGCTACGCCTGCTGTAGCCATTCACACACATTTCTCTCACTGCTCTTTAAGCTGCTGCTGTTGACCTTGCCAGGGGGACTATGGTGTACTCAACAGAAAGGAGTATCTCCACCACTTTAATCATAACAGCTTGTGAGGCAAAAAATCTCTTTTTGAGCATTTGTACCTGCCATTCCCTGGGTCTCTTACTGCATGAGGCAGGACACAGTTGTTCCCTGCTCACCTTCTCCACATCATCAATAATCAAAGACTAAACTGAGTGAAACTCCCCTTAGCAAATACATAGGGTCTTCTGATGAGATATTATCACAATATTGAAAAAAACAGGAGGTAGCCTGTTCAGACTGTGAGAGGTTTTGGCAGATGCTCTGTTACTAATGGCAGAGTATATTCAAAGTACATTACAAGTAAGGATTGATAAAGTCATTATTCTGCAATGCCTGCTGCAATGTTAGCATTTGCAAAATATACTGGTTTTGATGTCACTATTTGCAGCACATACTGTGAGGACACAAGCACAAGGAATTAAGTAATCAGTTGGAAAACAGAGAGGTGGAGAACA